ACATATCCAGGGGTGGTACATATCAAGCAATACAGACTTCATTTGTTCTGCACACAGTCATACATTCTTTTTGGCAACTGTATCTACACCGTTAGTTTCTCATCCCGTTCTTATCGTGCCCAGGTGCTGTTGTTGGGGCCTTGTGTTCTAACTATGAATCCAGCCATTGTCAAATTGTTATTCTAAAAGTTTGTTTCCCACCACACCAAGTACTCCTCTTTTCACAACAAACCTTGGTTTTATCTCAACCTCGCAGCTCCTTCTCTACATCTGCATGTTTTCAGTTCTAGCTTTAAGCAGCATTTTATGTTCAAGCTGGTTATATGTTTAAGCACATCTCTTATGATTATTTATTCTATTATAAAACATGATTATATATGTTGCATACTTCTATAAAATACGAACACATGAATACATTTCATCCACAGTTTTCACATGGTTTGAATTGCTTAAGGCATTTTGTGTCCTTTGTAGACTTTGTCAGCGGTTGCAAACCATGTTGCCTTCAGTATTTAGTGTCGGAGAACCGCGTCCTATTTTACAACGCCCACAATAAGGCTAAAGTGCCACCTGCTGTAAAACGATTGAAATGATTAGTTCAAGAGTCGTTCACGACTCGTTCATTTTACTGTTCGAGAGTCAAAGATCCAAATCAGTAAAAAGATTCGGCCTTTCCCATCACTTGTCCTTGAGTATTTGTCCCGAGAATCGGAAGTTATTTTATGGCCTTCCTCTTTGGCTTCACGTGATTGGTCTGTTTAATTGTGACATGTACAATGTGGACGCGGTGATTGGCTTAGTTGAAAATCAGGAAGTGGAGGTTTAGTTCGCAGTACGGGATTTTTAGCACATCACTGCGGGTAAGTAGAGGTAAACGTTCAATCTGCAGGTTTAAAAGTATGGACACTGTTAACATATAGGACCTTCTGTTCTAGCGCAGTTGTCAGGGCACCGTGTGTTTAATATGGAGACTCTATAAAACGGACCAAAGGCTTAGCTCTTCTAGTTTCCGTTTCAGTAAAGTACATGGAGAAACTTTAAATCGTTTAAAAACAGACGCTTTCTATTAATTTCCACTCATGTCGAATGTAAACCATTTTAGTGAAATCTTTTAGCCATATCCGTGGACAATTGTGTAGGCGACAATAAAAGAACGTTGTTCTTTTCACCCCAAATTCCGTTAAACATGTTCACAGGACTTTGACTTTAATAAAATGCGGCTTGTATAACTCTCGAGGTCACGTGGCCCACAGATTCTTCATCTGTCAAAAACGAAATCGTGTCATTACAATAAGTTATAAGCAGGGGACTTGATAATACACGTTTTTTTATTTCACTTTTATTTTATTTTTATATATTTTTAATTTTATTTCACAGATGTTGAAGCTCATGTTTGCGTTAAAAAAATTAAAGACCTTGCCTAAAAGCATGTAAAAGGCTTAAGAGGATTAAAACCGCGAAATCAATTATGTCCGTATATTTGTATGTATAGTTGTTGAGTTTTACAGTTTTTATTTGTATATAATTTGTTTGTAAGCTCATTTGAGAATAAAATGTGAGAATAATCTCAAAAAGGTTAAAAATCCTGCAATTGCTATTAAAAATAAATAAATAAACATTAAAAACTGTCAGTCAAGAGTAAAGCAGCAG